CGAGCGTAGGCGCGTCCAGGCGGTTGCAGCGCCGAACACCCCGCCCCTCTGGCCCCGTCCCGAGCTTTCCGGACCAGTTTACCCTGCCGAGAACCGGGGCGCGATTGCCCGGAGCCAGCCTCCCGCCCCCGCAGCCAAGGCTTAAAGGACGGCCAGGGGCGCGGCCGGGGCCTCTCAGCTTAGCATGCAGAGGTGCGCGACGCCTTCCCCGAGAGGTGACCCTTTCCCAGCCAGAAAGAAAGAAAGAGACACAGAAAAACGTGGTTTATAAAGAAACTGAGTTGTTTTTTTTATAAATTATAAACCCATTCAGTTTAAAGCAGATTGTGAGCAGTTTTATCCATCCTTTAAATTCTGTTGGTGTTGAGGTGTTTTACAGATCAGCCAGAGTCACAAATTAAAAACAGCAAATCAAACCAAAGCAGCTCCGAGGTGAATTGTAGGTAGCCGAATACCGCTCTCCTTTTATAGCTCAAGTAAGAGGCAAACCAAATCCCATGATTCAGTATCAGAATTTCAAATATAAATGCAATTTCTAAACAGTACGAAAATGGTAAAAACAGATAAACCCTCAACTTCCAATCCAAGATGGAAGGGGAACTGAGCTGCACGGACGGTCTTCTTCCTCAAAAGGAGACGGAGTTTGCAGCCTACGCTCCGTCCGCCAGGAAATATAACCCAACGGCTTTCATTTCAGAAGGGCCCCGAGTCAAAGCCCTGCTTGCTTATTCCCCATCTTTTAGCTCTTTTTTAATACCTGCAAATACACTGACCCACCGCCACAAACATCAGATAAAAGCATGACATCACACATTCAGAAAGGAGATACATTGGCGCGAAAAGGAAAACGCCAGCACTTGTTTCCAGCAGCTTCATCCCCCCCACCTGTCTTTTTTGGGGCGTGGGCTGCATCTCCCCCGTAACGGAAGAAAACCCTACCGATGCTGAGCGCTCGAACAGACTCCGTAGCGGAATCTAACACGAATTACCTTGCGTACAAGGTTGCTTGTAATCTTGAGACGAGGGCACCCTCTACTTGATGAAATAATGAAAACTTTGAAAATGCTGTTTCAAAAAAATTATTTCAAAAGGGAAGGATACTCATTCTTTAGAGGGTGGCATTATCTGTCAATATTCCAAGAGTAGTTTTCGGATTAAAAAAAAAAAGATTTAAAAAAGCATTGGTTTTGGGGAGGAGCTGATTGCTGAAAGCACCTTAAGAATCCAAGCATCATTAAGAGCTCTGACGACAGGAGTTTTGGAAGGCTATAACCGCCGTTGTATTCCAAAAACAGGCATTTGGGATCAAGTGATCTACCAGAAAAACAGTATATTCGGAACTGACAGTGGAACAGATCTGATCCCTGCTTAAACCACACTTTAAAAATCTTTCTCTTTAAGGTACTTCTCAACAGAAGCCCCAAAACATCTTTCTAGAAATCATTTTGCTGGGGAAAAAAATCTACATTTCAATACTCTGCCTTTCTTCTTCTCCGACTGTCAAACTAAATAACATACCCTACGGGAGTAATGTTTTTGCACGAAGGTCGCCTCCAGATACATCGGCCACTGTGGTGCCTCTTTGTAGCAATGGGTTGAACTGAACTGCTTTCCCGCATCTTGTTCCTCACGCGGTAGGTCCCGGCTGCCTCGAAGCTCTCCTGGGGCACGTGAGAGCAGGCAAGGAGAAGACAAGCCGTGGAGAGTCCATGAACATGCTGGCCAGGCTAGCTGGGTGGGACAGCAATAAATCGGGCCGAACTGCTGAAACAGCACCCCCCTTCTGCTGCATCAAAGCCATTGCTCCAAAGTCTAGATCCTGGCCAATGAAAAAGTAACTCCTTACAGTCGGGGTTACCTTCGCTTACCTGACTCTGAGGGCACCTGGTTATCTTCCTTGGCACGACCTCTACGTTCATGAGGTTCATTTCTATCTGACAATACAGTTGCTTAGAAAAAAATGGGAACACATCCCATGGCTTTTAGTACCCACTGATTTAAAAAAAAAAAAAGAGTGGTAACCATTAATTCTCTCAAGTGACTCAGAATACACAAGCTTAAGGTTATCACAAAACAGTTAAACATGCTAAGAATGTGCAAAACGAAAGACCACCTTGTTGCCGGCAACTGAGTTTGGTTACACAGCAGTGTAACCGTTTTTTCATCCAACAGCTCTGAACTCCAAAACGCTGAGCACTTGAAATATTCAACAACCCAACAGGGATTTTGGGAATCTTGCTCAAACTCTGTGCCAAACGCAAAAAGGATGGGAAGAGCGGATAGGATCTGAACGTGGCTGGAGCTCCTTATTCTCCATTCTTGAGTCCCATCCAAAATCCACCTTATACATATTCCACATGGTATTCAGGAGCTATTTGAAATTAGAGAAATATGAAAAACAGCGGTTCAACTCAACTTAGCCATCCTGTCCTGACATACAACTCTAAAAGTGGAAGAAACATCAAGGCACCACAGCACAGCTTTAGACTGCAGACAATTTTCTTTAAAATAACAGTAGCTCTCTTGAATTTTTGCTACCAATTCCACTGATACACCCTTTCCATCTTTTACCTGATTTCTACAGATTTTTACATTTTCTTGGAAACAATTTCTCTTTGAGTAGGCTTTAACTGGTAGCACCTTTCTCTGATACTTTTTCCTTATAGGGTATGGAAAAAAAGGTCTGAAGGTGTAACTCACGCTGGTCCTCCTTCCAACCTGTTCTAACTGCTGTAAGGGAAGTTGCACAAATAAACAAACCTTTAAGGAGAATAAATGACCCTGCTGTAGACCAGGTGGTTCAACAGGCATGCAGACTTACTTGGCTGTGGCAGAAGCAGGATGGCCTAAGAGATGCTCCAAGAGTGTCCACAGTTGACCTCAGGCCTGCCTTCTGCTTCCCTGTGGCAAGCAACTTGCACACGAACTATAAATGCTGCCTTGTAATGGGGGGGAAGTACAAATTCCTTTGAAATATGCTTTACACTGGATTTCTATTGCTGCTTCTAAAGACTTCAAGACCCCCAACCATTTCTGGAGAAGGCCCCTCACCCCAGCAAAGGGAAGTGAAATGGGTTAGGGGATCTAGAATCTGTCGCAATCTGCCTATGAACGTGTATAAAAAGTGGTCTAACCCTGACCGAGGAGGGTCCCTGTTTCCATTTTTTAATGTACAATAATTTAATCAGCTTGAATATATCTTTTTAATACATAAAAAAAATGTTTGTGATCAAAGTCCTTCATGCATTTATGAGGAAGTTCCAGATTTTAACACAGAAGGGATGGTAGATGTTGCTTATTTGATGCCAACGCTTCAATCCTGGCCTTTTCCACAAGGAGGCATTTCATCAAACCTTTAGATTTTTTATGGTCTCAAGTCTCTTTTTCAGCAGATCTCCAATTTCTTGAACCGCATGTTGGTAACTATTCTGGACTTTCCCTAGCGCAGTCTTTGTAAACTTCTTTTCTTCCTGGATAAAAGAAGATTTCATGGATATAATATCAGGACCAATCTGACTGACTCTTGATTATTCCCACAACAATCTCCAATAATGATAAATTTATATTACAACCATCTTTGAGTTTACGAACATTTTAAAGGAAGAAAACAGCTTAAGTACACAGAGTTGGACCAGCCAAAGTATTTGAGCTAGCCTTCTGCTAGGAAATTCAGACATCGGCTCACCAGCTGCGAAGTTCTTCCACGCATAAGTAACGCTTTGAGCAAAAAGGTGGGGTTAAAAAATGAACAGAAAGAATAAGAGAAATTCTGTATCATAGGAGAGCAGGGTGGTTGTTTTTTGGGGGAGGGGATGTCCAGATGATAGAAAAGCTTAAGCCCTTTCCTCATCTGTTTCTCCCACAAATCATCGCCTAATCTATGGTCTCTCCTCTCCTTCAGATCTGAATATTTTACATCTTGCAGTTTTTGAAACTCCGCCTTACTCTAACCTGAAAGCAGGTGTGTGACGCAAGTCCCTTTCAAGAAGCATTCCTAACCCTCCACAAATTTAAAGCATTTTTGTTTCATTTGGACTTTGAGACATTCTGTTGCTATTCCAGTGTTCTTATTGATTTCTCTCTCTGCACATGAAGCTGGTTTCGCAACAATTTGCGGAAGTAACCAAGAAAGAAAACCTTGGACAGGAGGTGGCTCAGATCATGCAGAGTAAGGATGCAACAAGTCTGTCTGAATGTATCTCTTCATTTTTATTCTTATCGCAGAAAGTAAAAACAACACATTTCAAATGTTGCCTGAGTGAGGTCAAAATCCTTCTATACCCCCTTGAATTTTAAATCCACTCCAATGACCAGCATTTTGGTGCATTCATTTAAAAGCTACTATTTCTTACCTGCAAGAGTAAATTATCGTCTATGTACAGCTCTTCAAGTTTAAGTGCAGTTAAATTAATTTCAAGCCCTTTGATATGATCTATCACATTGGAAGTGAGTGTCTGGAGTCCAGAAATGTAATCTTGGAAGCTGGTGAACACAGGTGGCTACAAAGAGATGGGAGAGGCGAAAGTGTGAAAGGCATTCCAACGGTCTGTCCTCAGTTGTTTTTTAATTCATTACATCAACTGCACCGAGAATTGGCTCTCAATGATCACGAATTAGAAGTCAAGCCATGGCTTGGGGAGGAAGAGGAGGATGGAGAAGAAAAGGCATCACAGTCGAGCCTACCATTGCTGCAGTGCTTTCTTTCTTCTTCTTCTTCTTCTTCTGCAAGCTTGATTTCCAGGGCCGGAGGACAGCGTCTGAGTAACTGCAGACCCACGAGACGATGGAGATGGTCTGGGAGGATGAGAAGGGAGGAGGCACAGCGCTTTAGGGACATGGCTGCTTTTTGCAGCAGATGGAGAAGCAGACTGGCTGTTTTGGATCTCCCACACTCACCTCCACAAAGAAAACAAGATTTTCTAAAACGTTCGGATGGGTTTTGAAGCTACCCTCGCTGACTTCCAACAAATCACCTTTGCATTTATTGACCTGATCTTAAAAAAAGAACGAGAGAGAGAAAGAGGGGACAAAAAAGGTGAGATTTGTGAATATTCAAGTCTTTGGCAAAGCAGCACAGACACCCCTCTCCTCCCCTTGCGTCCATACACTCTGGTCCTTTCCCAAGAGATCCCTGAAACTGGTGTCTTGTGCAAATGTGCTTCCTTCCAATGAATTCTGGTCCCCTCCCAGGCATATACAAAGCTGCATTAGACACAGCTGTAATGGTCCATCCTCCTCCATATTGCTTATCCTGACAGCCTGATGCTCTGAAGTAGATTCCTTCCTTCCTGTCTGTAAAAGGGCCACACTCCTGTAACCAATAAAGGGCCAAGCTCTTTCTGACATACCCTCCCCTTCTCATGTTCTCATTCAGCATCTTTGTAACTCTCCTCTCCAACCTCCTGCAAGAGGCAGAACCAACACGCCAGAAGTGTAAACTTCTTTACTTGCTTAAAGAAGGTGTTTGAAAATAGGCTAAGAAGACTGGGCCAAATAAAAGGCAACTGAAAGAAAAAACCTAGCTAACTAACGTGGCCGTTCATGGCTTTCCCTGAAGGCCTGCAGTACTAGGTCATTTAAGATGTCTTTCCCATTCACGCGCTATACTGTCCTATCATTAACTTAAGTGAATCAACAGAGCCTGGAGGGGGACTGCTACTTGCACGCTGTAGGCAAAGCTGTCCGTACGCAGCTTTGCAAAGCTAGCTCTTTTAGGAAAGAGAACCCAAAAAGTGTGTCTGCAAGCAAGGAAGCAGGCTTGTAGGCTCAGGACTCTTGGGGACTTATTTGCAAAACTGGCGTACCTGTTAGTTGCTCCAGTAATGATTTCAAACAATTCCCTATTCGCTCTTGAATTGCTGTTGAATCTTCTGTAAACAAATAAGTGATCCAATCGTTTATCCAATTACAGGTGGCTTATCGTAAATATACAAATAAGGAGAGGGCTTTGAAAAAGCAAAAGGAAAAGCGATACTAGCAAAACTTAGGTACAAAGCACAGCGACTTGCCAATCTTGCAGTGATCTGAGTGTTTAATCCATACTTCCCACTCACTTGCTGAAGGAACTTGGAGGGCTTACCTAAACCATTGGTATCTAGTTCATAAATTTCACTAACAAGGTAAAACAAGCTGGTCTGGGACTGACAGCTCCCGCTGTCAAAGAAGCTGGCCATTCGTGAAGAAGGGGGACCGAGGACCGGATACTGTGGAAGAAGAGGAAACACCGCATATAACGCACTTTCCAAGAAAAGAAGTCAGTGTTATTTTTGACCTAACCCGGTTAGTTTCCCCAGAGCCCAGTTTACTGGCACAAGCAGTCTGTTTAAGAAATCTGGGAATTCTTTCCTTGACCCGTACCTGAATGTTCTGCTCTAGAAACCACCTCCCAGATCCCACTGCGTCATCCAGCTGCCGCAGGAGAGACCGTATTGTGTCTATCTCGGGGGAGACCCCATTCTCGCTGTTTTTCCCCCAGTTCTTTGGCTGGCTGCTGTGGCCAAGAGCTGGCAGCCCGCTTATCAGCCGCAATGTCAGGGACCGGATCTGTAACCAGATGGTCTCTTCCTTCAAGGAGAGCTTTCTGTGCTCTTCAGAAATACTCCTGAGAGAGAAACAGAAAGAGGGAGAATTTAGATCCAAACACACATACACAAGCTGCCTATTTGTATCCATGTGTGAAGTCTAACACGATGGCAGTTGTGGTGGGTATGCCATCTCTTCCACACACAAGCTACAGTAAACCCTTCCTTTAGCAGACCTTCTGCAGCTTTGGGGGCGTTGATTAAATCCAAATGGGCGTAGGGTGTACCATGTACTGTACATCCTTATGTTCGTACGCTATTTCTTTTGTGTCGTTATGCAAATGAAGCAGACCACATTAATTGCCTGGACTGTTGTGGAAACTCCCAAATTTGTTCCCAGTTTGTGGGTGAAATCTGAAGTAAAATGTTGTCTTCTGAATCAGAAATCTACTGAATGGAGCTCTGGAGCTTATACATGACTGGATCTACTATAATCCTGGGGTCACGAAGAGTCGGACACGACTTAACGACTAAACAACAAAACTATAATCCAGGGGACTCTACTCATTCTGGCCCAAAGGCCAGACTGTCCTTTTTTCCAGATAAGCACCCAGTGATAAACCTACAAGCATGGGAAGTTAAATTTATTTTATTTTTTAATTTATATTTCACATTTGTCATCACCCATCTCCCTAGAAGTGACTCTGGGCGATTTATAGTAACAGAACAAATACCCCTGAATATATTCGCTTCCCTTCAGATCATATAAACCTTCTACCATCCATCATAGATGCCACCTTTTGTGCTTACTTGTCTTTCGGGTCCCAATTAAATAAGACGGTGAGGTCTCTATTATCTCGCAGGTCATTCCAGGAAATGTCATCCTCTTCTGGACTGAGGCTCATGGACTTAATACTTTCTTCCAAACTTGTTGATCTGGTTCATGAGGAACCAAACAGAAATGCTGGGTTAGGCACTTAAAAGAGTTTGCTCAGATTTGGTTAGGGTTTTTTCACAATGCTGCCATCAAATGACTCCTGACTGCAAGGAAAAACACGTCAGGTGACGGACTGCGTTTTCAGCAAAAGGTTTACTCCCTGTGAAAATAAGCCAAGCATGCTCAGTTATGCATGCAGAACATGTCTCCTGGGTGGGAAAAGGGAGCTCCGCTTGGGCTTCACTCAGAGATCTTACAAGGGTGGCTGGGAATTGTCCTTCCATCCTTTATGCAAACCCCACTCAGTTTCACCTTCTTTCCTGGGAAAACCCTTACAATATTAGAGACGCTCCTCTGGACTCACATATTTGCTTCCAGTAGAAGGTCCAGCAACATCCGTTCTGTGCGGACTTGTGCAAAATGAAGTGAGGAGTTTAGTCTGTTCCTGAAAGCGATGAATTCTGGGATCTTCTCAAATGCACCATATTTATAGGCCTGAATGATGTATTCTGAGGTCTGCAAAGGAAACACAGGGTGGCCTTCAGGCTGGGGACAATCAAAGGGAGATTTCTGGGAAACGTTTGAGCTGTGAGAATCCAAAATGACATTCAAGAGGCTTACCCCACTCCTCACGAGCCCCAGCCCTTAACTTATACAGACCTCACTCTTGAGACTTCCACAAATTTTCATGAGTTTGGTTTCAGGTTCAGCCTTGAAAGCTGCTTTCTCAAGCAATTTCGGGGGGAAGCAAGAAGTGTTCCTGTTGCTAAACTTAATCGACCTCATGGGGCTGTTGCAATAATAGCTGAGGAAGTACAGCCGCACCAAGTTCTTGAAAGTTTAGAAATTATTCATCAGCTCAAGCTGATCGCCAGCCTATCCCTCCCACTTCTCCTACAAAACTCTGGGTGTCTGCGTAAGGCAAGACATGGGGAGGGGAAGGGCTGCGTCTGCTTCAAAGGGCCTGCAGGTGCTCCCCAAGGAGGAGAGGCTGGTTCCGTCTTCTGTCCCCACACTTACATCTTTCTGGTTGGAGTGGAAAAACCTGAGTGCAAAGTTGCAGGACTGGGATGCAGCAGCATAATGTCCGTAAGCCGTGGCGTAGCGGGTCAGCAGGTATCTGCAATGCAGAACGAACCAACCGGCCAATGAACTCCCAGGGCCCACAACAACGGAAGCGAGCTGGCTCTCCTGCCAGTCCCAGCCATCCTGAGTGAGCACAGCTGTGTGATCCCCTGGCCATTTCTTTCCATTATTCCTCCAAGTAATGGAAACTACAAAGCCCCGGCCATGGTTAGGAGTGCTGAGGGCAGGGAGGACAATCAGATGTTGCTCAAGGAACTTCCAAGGCATTCCCACAATCAGCGGCCATTCCGGGAGCGTCCCAAAGAGGCTCTTGGTGTGAAGGGAGGGCAAAGGCAACAGTTAGGGTTTGTTATGTGCATTAAATGCAAACATTCTGTGAATGAAACTGGGGCAGCTAATGGGGGGGGGGTTATTTCAGAGGAGCATCTGCTCCCTCTTGGAGTCATCCTGGATAAACAGGTTGGCCTCTGCTTAATCCCCTTGGGCAGTGCTAACCAATGTTCAAAACTGGCGCGAGACATTCTGCTGCTTCCAGAGGCAAAAGCCGCAGTAGCACCTCCCCTCATTCAAAGACCCACGCAGAACCCGTCCCACCCAAGACCGTCAGGCGAAGGGAGGGGACGCCAGGCAGGCCCCCGCCATACCTGCCTCTCCGCTTCGGCTGCCCAAAGCAGCAGCTCTGCAGAGCCCCGCAAAAGAACGGTGCGCTGGAAGCTGTTCTTGGGCTGGGGAGAGGGCCAGGCTACCCACCCAATGGTGTCGTGCTGTATGTGCTTGGCATCGAGGCTGGAATACAGCTCCACCACTGGCTCAAAGGCCCCCAGCATGCAGTAGACGCGGATGAGCAGCAGCTTGAACTGGGCGTTGGACGGGCTGGATGCCAACCCTTCTTCTAGCAGGGTCAAGCACTGCCAGACGGCTGGTTCGTCTCCTGGGGGGGGGGTGCAAAAGCACAGTTCTCAGGCCGTGAGCTGGGTGGCAAGGCAAAGAAGACACCCTGGAAGCCAACTCTTTGCTAGCCCCCGTGGGCCCAAATTGTCTAGTTCTCCTTTGGAACTGGTCAAATGCTGCATCGCATTCTTAGCGCTGGAAAAATCCCAAGGTTAATCTACATGTAAAGAACACCTTTATTATGTCCCCAAGCTCCAGTCCCTCAGCTGCCTTGGAGGATCTCAGGTTCAATCTAGTATAACATGAAGAAAAGAACAATTTCCCTCTCATTTTTCCACACCACACAACTGTATACACAACTGTATAAATCACTGAGCTTCACCCATTAACTTTTATTGTTGTTAATGAACTAAGCATGTTGCAACCTTCCCGCACACGGAATTATATCAATCTCAGAATCATCTGTAAGAACATACCTGCCTCTAGCCAGATGTCAAGGAGCAAATGAACAGCAAGCAGACAGTAGTAATCTGAAAACTGTAACTCTGTTTTCAAACACGATTTTCCTGGGGAAAAACAAAACCACGAAATAGAACCTGAACATTTTATGCTTTCAAACATGAGCTAGCTTGATAAAGGTGCTGTTTAACAACATTTCTTGCAGGTTTACCTAAAAGCTGATTCTAAACATGCAGAAGACCACACACTACATTTCTAATTCTCCAAGATCACAATATAGTAGTGACCAGATTTAATCAGCGTGGCTAAATAACTTGCAAGGCAGTCAAAGCAAAATCTATTAAAAAAAACAAGAGTCTCGTGGCATCCTAAAGCAAACAAACGTTCCATAGAATATGTTTTCATAGGCTAGTGACTACTGAATCAGATGCTTGATCCTGATTTATGGTCTATGATGGGCTGCTGCAACCGAAGGCGAGCATGATCAAAGGCCCCTCTTGCCCAGCATCCTAGGCCTGGGGTGCTGGGGAAGGCCACGTGCTCTCCTGTTAATGATGCTCTTGAGCTCCTCAGGCAAAGGTTTAAATCCAGGCACAAAGGCACATGGCCAGGGCAGATTCCAAGAATGGCAGTGGCTTGACAGTCTGTATTCAAGTTCTCCTCACCAAAATCCAGCCCGTGCCGATAACGCAACATCAGGTCCTGGACTGCTGCTAGCTTTTGAGCGGTGTCCATGGTGTGGAAGAGACCAAGCAACCGTGTCAGCTGCATAACACACAAGTGCTGCTGTAAAGCTTTGATACTAGCTGGTAGTGCAAGTCTGCCTTCTGGTGGGGCTGAAAGGGGGATGACCCCCAACAACTGGTTGATGAACTGCAAACGAAAGCAGAGAAATACATCAGATATAGCCTCGGCAGGCAATGTTTACTCAGTTCTTACACTGAGGGATCAGAAGCAGGACTGAGGATCTCAGGGAGAAGTCCTGTAGAAAAGTCTTCCCTTGGAAGAGGCATTGCCACAATCCAGTCACTGCTGGACTGACTTCCACCAGTTACATCAATCCTAATAACAATTGTTTTAACGCAATCATGGTGTTGAAATGACATGGACATAGCCCTTCGGAATCATGCTGAATTGTCCCATGATCTTGGTGAGGGCCAAAAGACAGGTAAAAACGGTAGGGATTGTCCAAATTAAAAAAGGACCAATGTCAGCAGTGTTCGTACCATCACCCTTGGCAATTCTGTTTATGACTCTGATAGGGGAGAAGCTGCTTTCCACAAAGGGTAAACACCAGATTTCCCAACATTTGAAATCATCTGGGAAAACTACCCTTTCTCTTGTAAGGCACAGAAAAAGGGAACAAAAGTGGTTGCTATTTCCAAAACAACCTTTGTGGGACCAGCTCAATGCTAAAAGATGCAGGCCTTTTGTTTCTCCAAGCATTTCCCTGAACAGAAGATGTCAAAAACTTACCGACTCCCCAGTCACTCCTAAAAATGAATTACCTGCTTTGAAATATTTCAATGATCGCAACAAGTAAAATAATTTATTTTATTTACTTACAGAATGCTTATGCTGCTTTTCATAATATCAAAATCCCTTATAATAATTAAAATACAGAATAAAAAAATAGGAAGAGTAAAATGTTAAAACTACAATTTAAAAGCAAACAATAATTAGCAGTGCCAGAGTAAATAAATCACTGTTCGATTTTATGGCAAAACATAATCTTCAGAGTTGCCAGTGAACTTACCTTTGTGTATTGCGCTGATGGAAGGAGGTCTACAAACACCTTGAGGTCAGTAAAGCAGCAAGGTTTATCCCCAAACATCTTGAAATACTGGAACATGAGTTCTTCGGGATTGCCTAATAAGTGAAGAATCAACAACTGAAAAGTGGTAGTCAGCTGTTGGATTGTAAAATTGTTCCACTCCTGATACTTATGAGGCCCCTTGTTACAGCAAGTAAAGGCCCAGAAAACCGCTCAGATGTGTCTGCAGCAAAGCAGCTTCACCAGGAGTCAAAACGGGGGTTGGTCTCCAGCAACAAATGCCACAGCTCCAGCCTCCATCCCCAGCATATGAAACCATACGGTTCTTTTCTCTGCATTGCTTCACTTCAGTCCACTAACACACATAAAGCTGATCATCAGCAGGCTAGGGACCTGATCGCTCACGGAAAGAGGAATGTGGAAAGAAATGCGACAGTTTGAGATGAATGTTTTCATTTTTCTTTTATACTCTGACATTGTCCTCTTCTCTTTCCAATCTACATGAAATGTTCTACTCTTTTTCAGCTCATTTTCAACCTTTCTTGTAAGGTGCACTTACAAGAGTTTAACTGAAATGCACATGCAGAAATAGACCCATGGCTTTGTCTTCTATTTTTGAGAAACGGAATTAAACACTGTTTTATAAACAATAAACAACATATATGTGCAGGTTAATATGCTCTTGTTAAAACATGGAAAGCGGAAAGACACAAAGTTATTGATTTAGGACCGCGTTTTTCAAACTTGGCAACTTTAAGATGTGTGGACTTCAGTCCCCAGGATTCCCCAGCCAGCAGAGTAGCTGAGGAATTCTGGGAGTTGAAGTCCACATATCTTAAAGTTGCCAAGTTTGAAAAACACCGATTTAGGGTATACTTAATGAACATTTCATTAATTAATTAATGAACATTTCATTGCCAAAAAAAAAAAAA